CTTGGCTTGACCTGAAAATCTCGGCCAGTGGGTAGGAAGGCTGGGAGTGTTGGCACAAAGAAGGGCCTGACAGCTCTTGGCAGTTTTGGGGGTGCAGTGATGCGGTGGATGTTATTGAGCTGTTGGGGGGTGATAGTGCTACTGCTACCCTTCTATGTTTTGCTGCCAGACAATGAACCTCTCAAGCCAGGCTGGATGAAGCTCTGAGCAGCCTGTTCTGATGGAAGGTGTCCGTGCCCATGGGATGGTGTGTGGAACTGGATGATCTTTAAGGTCCGTTCCAACCCAAACCATTCTATGACTCTATGGTTTCTGTGACATCTATGATTCTGTGACTCCCTGGAAGGTTCTGGCCTTGAAGAGGTTGGAGAACAGCTGTGCACCTGCTGAAAGTGGTGGAAAACTTTGCAGAAGGCAAATCTGTGGGAGAAACACATGGATATTCTCGGGAGGAAAAATCTCACTGTCTCTATCAAATTTGCTGTTCCCTATTCAAGCTCTGTTTAAACATGCTTTGGCAGCTCACAGTAGAACTGCCAGGTGGAGTAGATAGTCCTGTGGGACTCCCTGGCCTTGCAGATCTCCTCTTCTAAAGCCAGAGTTATCTGGTCTCACCTCCTTTCTAAGGTTTGTTTGCTGACCAAACAGCCCCCAACAGTGACTTAGACATCAAAGCTGGGCTCTCTTTCCATGTGGCCCTCTGGTGTGGGTGAGCCCAGCTCCCTGTGTGGCTGCCTCGGTGCCGTTTCCATCCCAGGGCTGAGATTTGGATTGGCAGTGCTGGATCTTGCATATATTTGGCTCTTAAAGTATGTAGCTCCTGGGGCTTCCCACCTTCCTGCTCCCCATCAGCACTGGTGACCCTCAGAGATGGAGCAAGCTGCTGCTTTCCCTTTGGCTCAGGGACTGGGGACAGTCCCTCTCTCTGCAAAAACAACTCTGCATTTCCAACCAGGCCACCCAACCCCGCAGGGATGGATGCGGTTGTGTTTGAGGCTGAGTCAGCTTCCCCTCCCACCTCCAGCCTCTGCAGCCCTGGTGGCTTCGTGCCTCCTGTCTGTGTGCTAGGAAGGTGAGGCCAGGTCTCCCTTTCCTTGTGGGAAGAGAATCCCAAGCCAATGCTCCGTTGTGCCGTCGGTGGTGCTGGGAGGGGGCAAAACCACTGTCCTGGGTGGTTGATTTGGGGGTGAGGGGAAGGGGGTTGACCATTTGAGCAAAAGCCACACTAAATTACAGGAGTGCTGGCGGCTGTGCCACTATGGGCAAGGGCAAAACATAGTTATTTGTCAAGGTTAACCACTGCCATCGGCCTCTAGCGGGCAGCTAAAAGCTGTGGTGCAGCCACCGCTCTGCCGCGGCCTCTGTGAGCCTGTGGCCAATGTGTGCTTTATTCAGGAAAACAGGCTCAGGAATGTTTCCTCCCCTTTACACCTACCAGCTCTTCCCTTCAATTTGGCTTTTCTGTTGTTGTGTACGTAGTGGTGATTAAACACGTGGTGAAATAGTTGGGGAATGGGTCTGCGAGTGGATGGCCAGGCAAGGGAAGTCCTTAGCCTGCTGGGGATGTAGATGCTGTGGTTTTTTTTGCTCAATTCCTTTTCAAGATTTGCTTTGTTCCTTCTGACTTGTCCCTCTCTGAGACCATCCTCCTTCAGGATATGATTACCCACATGCTGATTTAAATTTTAATCACCCTTAATGAGGCCACTTTGCAACTCAGGGCAATGTTCTTTCCTCCCCAAACTGACCAGAGGTCTTTCCATTCCTGTTACTGCATCCTTTCAACTCAGAGAGACTCCTCCTGTTTCCACACTCTTTTTCTGGCTGTTTGCCAGAGGGGCTGTAAGATGAGGGCTGAGTAGGAGAACTGATGCCCTGAATTCAGGGCATTCAAAGATGGTGGCACACCTTGCCGTGTCTCCAAGCTGTCACTTGCTGGATGCTCTGGAATAGCCAGGACAATTGCACACGAGATGGAGCTGTGCTGTTGGGTGTGCAAAGCCAGGCTGTGCCATGGTTTGGAGCTGCTCCCCATTGACTGCCTGATGGTAAAGGCTGCCAGGCACAGCAGGACACAGGAAGCCAGGTGTCTGCATGGTCCAGTACCTTTTCCGTCTCCTTACCTGACTCAGGGAGCCCTACTCCGGGCAGGCAGAGATTTTCCAAGGCCAGCTGTGCTCTGTCTCTGTGTTTTGTGGCTGAGCAACATCCACTCAATAGCTGCCCTGGGAAGTGGGGAAGGGGGATGGCTGCAGCTGGGATCTGGGGACAAAGAAATGGCCTAAGCATAGCAAATGAGTTAAGCAAATGAGTTAAGCTGTGCAGAGGCAGGAGCCAGCATGGAAGATGGTGCCTGGAGTGGCAGCTTGTTCCCAAGCCTTCTCTGCTCCCCAAACTTTCTGACTCACATCCTGCATCTACCACCATGGTGTGCAGATGCTGTCCCTTGCTTCAGGCATGTTTCAGATTCATACCAGAGCCCTCCTGAAATCCAGAGTGAAGCACTGTTCCACTCTAAGTGAAGCATTGGTCAGGCCCATCATAAACAGTAAGCTCTGACATTTAACACATGTAATACTGTTTGCCCAGTTTTAAAAAGGAAATATTATCTAAGGACTCCTCTAAAGACTAGAGCCACACACACTTAGTTGTGTTAGGTTTGGCCAGTTTGCCCTGTGTAATATTGCTATCACTTCCAGAACATAACATGCCGAACCCCTTATAAATTGTGCCATGTACTGAATGAAAACCTTCTCTGTAAGTTTGAAAATCCCCCCTGCCCCCAGATCCTTCTCATGATAGAGAATAAATAAAGGAAAAATTTATAACTCTCTGAACTGATAGAAAATTAGCACAGTCATAAAAGGCATCTGTGGCTGTAGCAGTGCAGCTGAAAAGGAAAAATGAATAAACCCGCCACTCAGAAAGTAAAAGGCAGAGCTGAGGAATGACTGCTGCCATTTCAGCCTCCTGGCCCTTCTCCCTCTCTGTGCAAGTACAAAAATAGCCTCATCCCCCTGTGTAGGCAGCAAGGAAGTTCTGTGCTGTGGGACCCTTCCTGCAGACACCGTTGTACAGCGCATGACTGGAGGATATCCTAAATTAATTTACATAGAATTATAAATATATGCATGTGTGTGTATTTGGTATGAAATATGAAACCAGCGATTTCTTAGCCAACCCCTTAATTTGTCTGAAACAGCGCAGGCATAATGGAAACTGCCCACACATTTTTCCATTAAAAGTTACAAAGGGAAGGGAGGGGGAAAACTGGTGATAGAAAAACACATGCTTGTCTCAGCTGGCACAGAAATGCCACGCAGCCAGGCGGCAACACGCACTCACTCCAGTTTCCTGGGAAAAGTGTCATCTTAATTCCGGTGCTTGCTGGTGGTCTTCCTGCTGATGCCCTCCCTCCTCAGCACGCTGGGGTTTGTGTTTTTGGAGGGGAGGGACGTGGCTGTGCTGAGGCCTGTGCAGGTGCACGCAGTGAGCACAAAGAAATCCGAGCTTGTTCGTATCCGTTCTGCAGGTTTCCTCTTCTGGGTTAAAAAGAGCCTTGCCATGACACTGCCCCTGATGTGGTATCTGATGGTTGTGTGGGTGACTTGGAGTCTGCAGAGTAGCTGTGCCTGGATGGGTTATGAACAGGCTCCCTGCCCTGCCAGTGTCTTGTCCCTGCTAGGAATGGTATGCTCCAGGTTTCTGCCTAGTCTGTCAAGCCTGAAGGTGAGTAACTTTCTCCAGGGAGAGATGAATACTGCTGAGAGTAAGCCAGGGTGCTGTGAGCCACACTGGCTGCTGGGCAGGTCTAGGGGTGCCCAGATGGAGAACACAGGAAGGGAAGTAAGGGAAGGCCTTGGGGAGCACCAGCAGCTCCTCAGCAGCAGCTCCCAGGGCCATCACCCCGCACTCCCTCGGTGCCTGTGCTCACCACCACAGGTAAGAGACTGTGGCCTTAAGGCTCTTTGTGTCCTGGCAGGGGCAGATTCTTGAACGAGAAAAGGCAACTTTCCCCCTTTCCTGCCTTGGACTGGTCTGACCCCACCCAGCTGGAAGTGTCAGGTGCATCGGTGACTCACTGCAACCACCCCAACCACCTCAGCACAGAACTGCTGTGTCTGGAACAGGCAGCCCTACAAGCTCACCAGCATTTTTCCAAGGAATGCCTTGTGTTGACAGTGCTAACCAGTTTGCACAGCGGGAGGGGGGAAGTGCAGCTGGTAACTAGTGCAGGGCTGTGGGGATTCGGGGGTGTGTGTATGGTTCTGGTTTTCGCTATATTGTCCTATAACCCATGTGCATCACTGTGGGTTATGGCAGTGGAATTTTGCTGCTCAGCAGCTGTCCAGGCAATGTGAAGCCAGGCCCACTCATCTTTTTAACCATCAAAGGTACGATTCAATCCATTTATGGCTGCCTTGGGGCACTGCTCCACACATCTTTCACAGCAGCTGTGCCAGCTTAAGGCGTTCCCACCAACTCAACTCTAAGGCCTGTATCTGTATCTGCTGATTGATTGGGGGTTAAAAATAAATTGGATGACTTGACTGCTTCCTTGTTTCAGTTTCCCTGTTCAGTTCTGCTTGTTTCAATCCCCCTCATATCTTTGGTTGAGTGTTCCAATATGCTTGTTCTGTGGTAGTTTGGAAACATAACAGCATCTTCTCCTAAACACTGACCTGTGTCTGTAAGCCACAAACCCTTCCTCAGGTCTAGTTCTAATATGAACAGCTCTATATTTAAGAAACTGAGCAAATTTTGGCCATGGTAAACTCCAGCACCTTGCTAAGGTCTACTACACAAAGTCATTCTAGGTACAATTTTGATCGTTGGAAAGGAGATAAAGAAAATAGAAAAGAAAAAAAAAGCAGCCCAGCCCTGAGTGGATCGTAATTTATTATAAAGTAGGACAGACTTTGTTTTTTAATAAATACCATTGCTTAAGGTTGCAGAAGTGTGGATATTCTAGATCTGTGCTCCAGAATGCATCCTATGAAACACCTGGTAGGTCCTATCAGAGATTATTAGGCTGCCTCAGAGTTTCCAGCCTTGGCAAATTACAAGCGGTAAGACTTCGTGCGTCATTTCATTTATTAGACTAATTTTTCCTCTTCCCTGACACTTTTTGTGTTATGTTCTGTGTTAACAGTGTAGTAGCATTTCTCAACACCACCATAATTTACTAATCCACAAAGTGCAGGGATGTGTTTTATATTTCAAGAACTGTGATTGTCCTCTCATCTCCCTCCCAGAGAAACCTGAGAATGTTGTTCCCCCACACTCCTAAGTGAAGTAAGAAGAAGAGCTTTCTCCCCCATGTTGCAGATACCTGCCTTCCCTATGAAGGGACTGATCCTGGAGTTCCTTGTGCCTTTCATCCATCTGCTGTCAATTTAACCGCTCCGCTTGCTGGTGGCGCCTTCTTATGACCTTGCAAGAATTTACAAAATCTGGTTTCTATAAAAATTAAGGGGTGATCCCCATGTTTACCCTCTTGCTCAACTAACCATGTTTTGTTACTACCAGCTTGTGGTAGAACACATCCACGCCTCCCCCCACCTCCGACTCAAGCCTGTGTCGAGAAGCTCGGATGACTTGGCCGAGGTTTCCAGCTGCTGAGGTTGCCTCAGCAGACCAGTTGAGGTTGCAGATGTGCAGTAGCCCCTGATTTGGACTACCTGGGCAGACCAACAGAAGCCTGACCCTGCCCAGACTCAGCGGGGTTGCTGTGCCTGTGTTAGTGCTGGGGGCACCCCCTGTCTGTAAGTGGGGTTGCAATCAACCAGACCCAAAATCCCAACAGAGCCAAAGATCTACAGCATCTCATAGAATCCTGCAATGGTTTAGGTTGGAAGGGACCTTAAATATCATCTGTGTGTGTCTGTATATAGCAGAAGGCATTGTCTTGAATCTTTCAGCTCAGGCTGACTGCGACACCGGTCATCTTTGCTGCTGTGTGAGGTTCCACATGCAGGGCACACATGAGTGTCAGACCACATATCCCCAAAACAGGCATTCCTCTGGTAACACTGAGCCTTAGTTTTCCAAATGAAGACACTGACTTGCAGCAAGGCAGTCTTTTGCAGGATGGAACTGTAAGTATTTATTTACCCATGGGTGTAATTTTTATCTTTCATAAGAATGCAGGGATGAGCTGCTTAATGACAGGATTATGTATTTATGTACTTTATAAAAATTTGGAATTAAAACCTTTGCCTAACAACAGTCATGTTCTTGGCAATCAAGTTCCATCTACAGAAACCTTTCATGTTAGAGACATATCTCGCATGTGAGTTATTGTTACAATTCAATAAATACTTTACAAAAATAATGCTAGCTTTTTAAAAAAATTAAAACATTTTAACTCACCAATAGTTCCTCCCAGAGAGCTTCCTTAAAGAATAGCTACTTCTGTAGGACACTGTGCACTCAGCATAAGAAAAATGGGGAGAAAGGGCTGGTTGCATGCTTTATCCCAGGGAAATTCAACATATGGATTCCACTTTTCCTGTCCTTTAAAAAAATAAACTTCTTTATTTTCTTAAAAGAAAGAAACAAGCAGATCCAAACATTCTTCGTATTAAAAACTGGGAAAGAGCTGTGATTTTTTTTTTTTCCTTTGACATGGATTACTTCTCTGGCCTCACTCCTCCAAAGACTCACAGCGTGCTCAGTTCAGAGGTAGCTGCCCTGAAGATCTGCTCCCCAGCATAAGATGGAAACCCTGACAGCTGCAGCTCCATATCTGAGATGGCTCCAAGAGTGGGTTGTTTGTGACTCCACTGCATCGAGACCTTTTCTGGCCTATAGGAAAACCACAGCTACATCTTCCTGCAAGCCTACCCCAGATGGACTGCAAAGACCTGAGCTGGAAGGTAACAGGAAGAATTCCAAGAAAAAATCTCCAGGAATTCTCTGTATTCACTTTTGACTATTACCCTTCCAAAAAAAATTCTTCTCTTCTTAGATATGACTAGTCACGAAATCAATTATAGAGAAAATTGATGGTGTAGGTGCATTAATCTTGTAAACCATTCCCATATGGAAGAGTACATTCTTCAATCCTATTGTTTATAACAACTTTTAAATATGTGCCTCCTCAGCTGGGGCCTTGGGGCCTGATGGTGAAGGCAGCTGCCCACCCCCAACCCCCCATTATGTTACAGTTGGGAAATAAAATGAAATGCACATTATTACATGAATGTTATTGCAGTATAAAATCCTACCAGGACAAGATTTATGTATGTCTGTATGTAAAAATAGGTGTGTGTGAGATAGAGAGATATGTGTTTATAAATTACACACACTATGAAAAATACTTATGTATTATATTACAACTATATACATTCATTAGAAAGGATCTGATCAACCCCTGTCAAGGAGCCAATGCAGCAGCCACCACCAGTACTTTGGCATCCAGGAAACGAATGCTACTTTGTGTCTGAATTTTCTGAGGAGGAAAACCTTCTCAGTATTCCCTTGCTTCTTGAAATTGCTTGTAGTAGTCCTCATCTGAGGGGTTTTCTGTGCACTTCTGCCCATTGTTGGGAGGCCGGGCCTCGTTGTAGCGGCTCCAGTCCCCTTTGCATATGATCCAAGGCAGAATGTCCACTTTGTAATGGAGTTCTGCTGAGAATTCAATGCTGATCAGGTTTGGTGTGCCCGCCCCCTTCCCTCTGGTGATCAGTTGCATGTTGTCATCATAGCAGCAGTGCTGTGCTGCCAGTGTTGTGCTTTCCAGAGAGAGCATGGAGCGGATGCAGTATCGTGCCGTGGGCTTATAGATCTCCAGTTTTTCCTTCGGACCACTTGCATCTTTCCAGCGAAAGTTTTTCCTCTTAAGGCGATCATAGATCTCAGCAGTGCTGTAAGCAACTTCTCTGGGGTAGGAGCATGGGCAGCTGGGAAGATCGTTGACCACTTTGTGCATATATTTCTTCAGGAACTCGCTCTTGCAGCTCATCCATCTTTCACAGCTATCAGTATCTGGTTAAGGGCAGGAAATGGAAACTTAAGATACATTATGCAGCATCCCAGTTGGTGTGATCAGTGATAACAAATGAGTAAAGCCTAACTGTTCAGCACCAATGCTTTGCTTTAGAAAGAATGGGCAGCCACAGTTTGCTGCCCTGCCGGCAGTGTGTTAATGTGCTGTCTTGTCAGATAAAGAAATCACACCTGTGACTGACTTTAGGGCCTCAGGCAATGCTAGTCTGGAGCTACAGTGCAGAACCAGGCCACTCAGAATCTGTGACATTTCTTCTACCTGGCAATTTCTAATTAAGCTGGTGATATCCCCAGGCAGCACAAGAGACACTATTCTGGGTTTAGAAGCAAAAGAAACAGGGAAATCACAGTGATTTGGTGCCAGTCAGAAGACACTCACCTAGTAAGTGTCAGATGTTGAAGGATCAAGTTTCTCATGACAATAAAGATTCCAAGATGGCAAACAAGGCCTGTATTACTTTTCCTGAAGTTTGTTTTAATCTCTAATTCAGTGGTTGTTTTTTTTAAACTAACAAATACTTTTTTCTATTTGGTCTCCATTCCCCCAAAGGGGTATTTCAAGCATCTGTAGTTCAAACATGGAGACTGACATCTTAGCTGGCAAATGCGGCCAAAAGTGATTCAGATTCTAAAAGGGCATATGTGACATAAAATCAGAGTGGCTGTACATTACGAGGATTTAATGGCACCAGAGCCACGACATATAGCTGAGATTAAAGAGATTTATAGACCAGTAGCATATTTAATGCTAGCACTTTATTATTTTGCAAGAGTCTTGGGAGAATCCAGTTAAACATCTCCTACATAAAACATTATTTAAGGTGTCTATATCATGCCATGGGCTGTCAAAACCCCCCTGCATATCTCGCTCCACACTTATTTAACATGACTCTGCAGTAGAGTAACTAACCGGGACCTAAAACTCTTACAGCAAACATTCTTGCAAAATATTTACTTAGTGATCTGTGTCCTGTTTTTCTATCTCCTTAAAGAGTTCTGTCCTGGCTGTCATTAACTATTGTGCTCTGACACCATGGGAGGGAGGTGCTGGGTTACACTATTTATTCAATTAGTCCAGCATCCAGTGTCTCTGAGTGGCCACACTATGGATTCATTGGAGGGATGAAATCAGAATATTACAGAGGTTGGGCTGAGTTTTAGACACATCAGAACCAACCCATGCACTATAAAATTTCAGCAGCAGCACACACAGCTATAAAAGCTATGCATGCTCATAAAAGTCATTGCCTTTTTTTTTTTTATGTGACAGCTGTATCTAAAATGCTTTTATAGTGTCTTCAATTCAAGGCTATTTCAGCAAAATGCTAAAGAGTGTTTGATTTTTTTTTTCCCCTCTATTAGTGTGGAGCTCTCTTCTGAATTAGGACAGAGAATAACCATTTTATAATGAAAGAAGTACAGGAATTTGCTAAGACTGAAGCAAACTAAGGTTCAGGTCATAAATATAAGCAAGACAATAAATAGCTGTTATTACTGACATTTTTAATGGTAAGCTCAATATCTTGGTCCCAAGAAAAACCTAAGGAAGTCTCTTATCTATTACTGAAAGATTGACTAGGCTGCTTACCAACTTCAAACAGTTTGGTGGCATTGAAGTCTTCACTCCCTGCAAGCAAGCTCACCTCCGTGGCAGCTGTCCGGAAGGTGTCTTCAATCCCTAAGACAAACACGTGTTAGAGGTGCTGGCATTTTCCTATTAAAACACAATGGAATCAGCTGCCTCCTCGCCATCCCCTCCTTCCTCAGGCTCTGCAAGGTGCTTTTGTCTGGCAGGGAAGCAATCTGAAAGTTGCTGCTGGATGGAGTGTTCCTTTAAAAGCATAAGGACCGAGGAGTCTGTGGTGTTAGGAAGGTAAAACAGAGATATCCACCTGGAGACAGGTGGATAAGTTCATCTCTGTACGTGGGCAACCATTTTTCAGGAATTACAAGGAGGAATGATGCTGTTACAAGATGACTGGTGATTGTCAGCCTCTCCCAGTGCCAGGGAGTTGAAAGGTGAGAGCAGATGAAACTAAACTCTTCAAGCAATTCCATCCTCACCCCTTATAGCTACCTAATAAAATATCAAGATCTTAATATATCAGGATGTTCCAGCAACCTCCAGTAAAGTGTTTGCTATCAGTAGAGACACAGAGAGATTGCCAGAAAAATGTATTAATTGATCTTGCCAAAGTAAACATCCTTTTGTTGCTGCTTTAGTCCAGCCTGTAGGACAGCCTAATGTTTCCCTAATGTTTCTGTGCCATGTAGCCTTAAAACAAATATCTCCCCAAAGAAGCATTTGAACAGGTTTGGGTTATTTTTTTTTTCCTCTCCGTTGAATTAAAGACCTCTAAAGAGAGCAGAAAGATCTTTAATATATGATAACTATATGGTTAATAATGAAGTCTATTCACCATCCATCTCCTTGCCAATGAACTTTCTCCTGATCTCCTGAACTGGGGCATAATAGTGGCTTGCAAAGCTTCAAAACAGCCTCAGGCCACTTTTCAATAAAATTATCATAGGGTTTTGCCTTAACTGCAGCACTAGATGCAGAATAATAGATACCCAAGAACCCATTACAAGGCAGTAATTCACTGCTGGAATTATAAACAGCAGAAGCTGAGCTTTGCCCTTGTAATTTTAAAAATGTCAGCACAGCCTCAAAGAGTGAATATATTTTTCTTGCTGATCGTTGGAGGTCTGTTATATGACATAATATATTCTTTCAAGTTTGCCACTGTTTGATGCTAGCTGGTAATAAATACTGAAGAATATAACTGGGGGCTACATGCTTTCTTCTGGTATTAACCCCTTATTATTGAGGTTTTAGGATGTGTGAAGAGCATCCAGAAACAATTTTCTCCTGAACTGCCTAGCAGCCATCGCCTTGCAACGGAGACACACATCTATCTGTGAGTGAGAAACTTCTCTCTAACTCTCTCACCAAGTCTGCTAAGTCTCCTCTCCAGCACTTCTGACATTTTACTTCTGACATTTCCCATTAAAAAAGGCCTGACCTCCAGTTTAAGAATTTCTGCCTTTCTGAGTCATAAAGTAAACTCGGTGTAATGCAAACAACCATGGCTTGCTTTCACTGCTCTCTGATCTTGGGAAGTAATGAACTTGCACCCATCCCATGTGTTGTGGCAGCTACTGCATGACAAACTGGTCTAAATCCAAACACACAGCATCATTTAAAGAACATCACGGGAAAGTTTTCCATAGCAGCTTTAAATTTTTATGATGTAGGTTTGAGCACTCAGCCCTGCTTTTGCCAAAGTGAAGACTGTGGGATAGTAAGGACACTTTAAATGTCAATGAGTGTGGATGGGTAGGAGCCATATTTTCTGAACATATTCAAGCCAAAACTATACATTCCTTCATCCCTGCTCATCATGCAGGCATTCCCATTCACTGCACAGCAAAACAGGAGCTCGCTGAGGTAACAGCACAGCTGCTGTGAAATTCTAAAACGAATACAAATTTGTTTTAAGAGAGTAGATGACATCCTTTGGAATAAAAAATGCCTGCGCACAAAATGACCTAAAGAAAGCCTGTACTTGTCTTTTAAGTCCCAGGGGATAGTGGACTGCATCTACCAGCATATTATTACTATGAAAGGACCTGCCATTTCATAAATGGCGTTGAAAACCAGCGTGCCTTTTCCCGCCGGAACTCTTACCTTGCCAGGGAACAAACAGGCCCTGGTCTTTGTGTCCAGGAGCTCTGAGATCACCTCTCCCCACTCCCCCTGACAGCAGTTCACGTGAACACGAGCACACCTGGGCAGTTGGGCCTGTCACAGGTCCGGGACTCGGTGGCTGTGCAGGCGTATCCGCAGGACCGCGTCCGCTTCTGGTTCCCGCTCCCGCAGGTGACGCTGCAGAGGGACCACGGGCTCCAGTCGCCCTCACCATCAATATAATCTGTGCAAGAACAAAGATGAGGAAGGAAATGAAGAAACAAAAATCCTACTGCCCAAAAACTACTGTGTAGTGTTTTTTATTACGAAGGCAAAACAAGAATGGGTTCCAGATGTCTCTACCTGAAGCTTGGGCTGAACGCCAGGCGCAAGCCTGCTGTTTAAATGGTTTTCACACTTGATGTTCCTCAGGGAAATGCATGCAACATTATTTGAAAAAATATTTCCTTTCTCTCTTGACCTTTTGTCAGCTGAGAATCCTCAGCTGCAAAGCTGGGTCTTGAACTAAGAGTCTATTCACATAATTTTCTTGCATATAGGAATATGTTTGCTGACCACAGCCTAATCAGGCACGGGATAAATTAAGTTTTCTTTTTTATCTTTTCAAAACACACAGAAATAGCACAACAGTACTCATTTAATTTTTAGGGCAAGATGCGTGTTGGGCTATGGGAAGCTGGGGGTCATGCGTGAAAATTGCAATTTTGCTTTTCAGTCCTTTGAACAGGGAACAGATACTTCAGGAATACTGCTATGAGTACAGGGAACCACATGCACATTTTGCACTGAGAATGACATGCAATTTGTAGTGTTTCATGTGAATTATTAAATAACATCAAATCTAACTGTTTAAGCAAATCGAACTCTTTATTAGCAGGCACCTTCTGAAAATGAAACATGACTTCATTTTCTTCTGGTAGAAAGCCAAAGGCACAGGATACCAAGTCTGCACCACCACAGCTCGGTGCCCCTGTAAGTATCTAAACCCCTCAGCACTAGTCTCCTCTGTTTGCTGTTGCACATCCCACCTGGTGAAGGCCACCAAACAGAGCCCATGAACAGATCCCAGTTGTCTTGCCTCCCTAGCTGAGGGAGGAACATTTGGCTTAATGGTTACCTCTGTGACCCACAGGAGATATTTAACTGCCCTGTGATCATAACTTGCGGCTGTAGCTCCTTTGGGTTACGCCAGCACTGGTAGCAAAGCAAAATCTGGTTCAGTGGCTTTGAGCCAGCCCTGCTCCACAGCTATAGGTGAGAGTACCTAAGCTACACAAGACCCAGGGACAGATCCCTGCCTTCCCTGGCCTCTGTGCTACACGTCATTCCCGCTCCCCCAACAGCCCTGCTGTCTGTGGGCTTCCTGAGCTGGTTAGTAGAACATGTAACTTGATTTGTACCATATGTAATGACTGACGACAACTCTGTGGGGTGCTATTAAACATTTATTGCCAGGAGTATGGGAAGGTTATATATCTCACTCGTAGCAAGCTGCCTGAGATGTGAGTTCCCCGTGGCAGGAACCTTATGTGTTTCTCCTCCTTTTCTTACATGGCTGACAACTGGGAAGCCACCACACTGGAATCAGTGTCCATGGTGTGATGAGGACCATGGTCAGCATCCACGTGTAAGACCCATGGTTCTGGGATTTGCCAACAGGTAGGCACTACAACAGTCTGAAAAGGCATCAAATGTCTTAGGAAAATGTGATCTGCCCTCTATGCCTGGCTCTTCTCTCCTGTCCAGGTCTTTTCCAACTCCGAGTTTTTTCTCCCTGTGGCTGGCAAGGAATAGGGCAGGTGAGCAGGTGCAGCGCCTGTCAAAGAGGCTTGGAGGCCCAGGAAGGGCAAGCAGAGTGTGCAGGGATTTTTGGTAGGGCAGGAGCAGGGAGACAGAGCCATGAAAGGGGTGATGAGCAGGTCAATGGGAGGAATGAGCTTCAAAGCCCCACAGGGGCAGGATCTGCTGCTACATCCTCCTGGACAAGGCCAATGGCATGTGGCATTTTAGGTTAGTCAGAAGGCCAGAAGCTTTTCCAATTAATAGGATGGTGTGCAGCAGAGAGCTCTAGGAAAAGTTTTAGACCTATCTACCTAGTGTTTCCACTGCATTATGAAACACATTATTGAATATATCACATTAGATTTTCAGCTGGAGCTCAACCTGTTCTTCCTATTTTTGTATTTGTAATTCTCACTATTTTTTTTCCTACCACAATTACTTATGAAAGCAATTTTATTTAACTTAAATGAATAACTACCTAAGATGTGAATTCTTGGCAATAAACCCATCCCACAAATAAATGTAGGTGCAAAATGAAGGGATAGACTTCAATCTTCTGGCCACAAAATTTAATACATATGTATGTGTTTAAAGAGACCATTCCAAAAAAAAAGGCTCTTCTGATTGTTAAGGCTCTAGGACTTAAAGTTAACCAAATCACGGGAAAAATAAGACTGAATCAGTGCATGACAGCCACGCTGGAGAACACAAAAGTGCCAGGGTAAAAGTACTGTGGTTTGGAAACTTCGTTCTGACTAGAAGTTGCCTGTATTTACATTCAACTTAAATCCAAGGGGCTCTGAGCTTCCTGTGAGCACAGTTTAGCTCACCTCCCTTGAGTCATTCCCATGTGGATGGTTACAGCCCATCAGGGCAGTGAATAGCTGTAGCTCCTCTCTGTTTCTAGTTTCTGCAACTGTTTCATACAACAAGCTGAAAACAATTGTTTTCGCTGTGACACATCTGGAAGAGAATTACACACGCAAATACACAATGTTCCTGCTGCATATGCCACTCCCCACACATGCACCAACATAATTCATCTTATTTGTGTATCCACCAAATACTACCACGTTTTAGATCTTGCTTATTTATCCAATAGTTGTATTTTGGTTCCCAAACCACCGCACGATTCTAAATTTGTACTTACCCTTACTCTAAAAATAAATACGAAACCTTGTTTCCTTTGCTTTCAAAAAAAGCACACTTTGGACTAAAAAAAGGTCCTCTTCTGGGATAACTGGTATGATTTGCAAGATTATAGACTTACTAGTGGAATGCAGCTACCACAGTACAGCTTGTGCATCTGCACAGATTTGTATTTAAAAGCTGATGAACAAAAGCCACATGGTGAAAAATTCTATTTTGCTTGGCCTGCTCTCAGCGATGCCTCACCATTCTCATTTCCCCCAAGCTCATTTTTACAATCCCAAGGTGCCCATGAGAGGCCTGGAACGCAAACTCACCATACTCTGGCTGCTCCTTGGACTCGAATGTCCGGTGACCGGGTGCATGACCATCCCACCCACCGAGAGGGTTTAGGAAGTTGCTGTCCTCAGTAGTGCTGTCATACTTGTAGTCCTGGTCACCACTGCTCATGCGAGTCAAGGTGGAGGACCTCTGCCACCAGCTCCTCCAGTCAGGTGATGGGACTGGCCAGCTGGGCTTGCTGCTCTCCTTCTGCAGATCCTTGTCTGTCTCGGTGTCGGGGCCATCCACCACTTCAATGGTAACCTGTGGGGTTCGAAACAGGCCAGCCTGGCTGTCAGTACCTCCTCCTAGTCAGTGGGAAACTTTCTAGACAGCAAAGACAAATGCCTGGTCCTGCCTTGCAGAGGGGCTGCGCGACACCGTCGGGTTCACATGTTTTGAACCATCTGGGGATTACTGAGCCCAGAGATATGCGGCGGCTGAGTGGTTCCTTCTGCTACCTCTGCTGAATCAGACCTTGGAACAAAGGCTCGGAAAAATCCTGCACAAAATAATAACCCATGCTGTGCTTAAACCTTTGCAGAAGAGTTTTCTGCCTTATGGGGAAAAGATGTTTAGAGCTGAAGATACACGAGCAGGAAAAAGAAAACCAAATCTGTACTCTAATTATGCTGAGCCTGAATTTGAGGAAAGTATGAAGCACATGAGAGTGCAGAGCCCATTCCAAGGACTTGGACTGACTCAAGATGGGGCTAAGTAAGCCCATGAGTGTGAAGGTGAAGATGCAGAGCCCAGGATATCTCAGGGTTTGCATCTGTCTTGTCCTCTGGCAGCAGCCCAGCTGTTACCGCTACATGAAACCACACTCTGAGGCAATGATGGGAGTCAGCAGCTCCTTTGACCATCAACTTGCTGCAAAGCCCTATGAAGGAGGTCCTTTTTTCATGCTGGAGAGCATAATGACCTGTTATGGTCAACCTGTTTATGGTTTCTACAGAAGTCCAGAGCCAAAATTCAAAGTTTGCTACCCCATTCCCTCACAGACATCATGAATGTAAATATGATTCTGTGTAGGAGAAACACTTGATTGTTGCTTTTCTGTGCTGAACAATGTGTAATTGTGAAATTCTTGGATGAACACTATGTGTGCACATAGGTGGCTATTTAAGTAGAAGCAGGGACTAGCCATTGGAAACCTTGGCAACAGATAACTAATAAAATGCTCTGATGTTTCATGCTAACGTGGTTCAGGGATTACGTTGGACTGGCTAAACAATGAGAAATGGCTATCAGATATGTCTGTGAAGTTGAATAGAGGCATTCTCAATGTTTTATAGATTTGCAAAGCAGTCTTTCAAAATCACGTTGTAAAAACCCAGAAAAAACAGAGTAACGTACTATTATGCTAAAAAAGTCATTTAAGTGGCTCTGTGGATGTGCACCGTGGATAAAACGTTAGTTTTATACAATTCTTATTAGTAACATCACAAGACACTCACAAGAAAAAGAAAGAAAGGGTCACAGCCACCTGAAATCTACAGAGGAGTGTGGCATAGGAAGCAAAGCAGAAGTGCTGCCATATCTTCGTAGCTGCAGGCACAGACAATGCCCACATATCCTTTTTTTGGAGAAAGGAGATTTTGAACCTATTTCACGCTTTGCATTTGACCACAGACAAAGCCATTGAAATGAAACAACTTTGAGGATACTATGAAGGTCCACTGGGAGACAGGGCAAGAGCAAGGGAAAGTGCAGTTGTCAGCCTAATAGCATCTTTACACAAGAGGGATTTCACTCCCAGGCTACACATGGAACTGGAATGATTACTTCATTAAACCTCAGTTTCTACAGACCAAGAATTAAAATGGATTTCATAATTTTGAAAACATCGGGGTTAGTTCAGGGATTCAAAATTGCTGCATCTATCCAAGCAAAACAGAGTTTTCACAATAAGTGAAAGGAAATCACGTTACTGAGCGGCAAACACTGCACTGCTGGCCAGTAGTGGGGCTTTGCTGCTCCCCACCTGAAAATTAGCACGACTCCAGTACTTTGGTAGCAAGTATTTTTAAGACCACACCAACTCTGTAAGCAATGACTCAGCAAAGTGGAAAGACCAAACAAAACGAAAAACCCAAACCAAACCCTCTGATAAAAACCAATGATAATCATTCCATTTGCTCTGCTAATCTGCAGTTGTGTGACAGTCAGTCAGCAAGAACTCACATTATTTCAGCCTGAATAACCATAGGGATTTGATTTTAAATACTAATTAACGATGCCAAGTCAGTTTAAGGAAAAGAGGGTTTGTAGGGACAGAGAAATTCCTGTAGAGTTTGGTGCTAACACTGGTGAGGAAAGGCAGGTGGAACACACACACTTCCAACATCGTCAGACCTCATCAGACCTTCAACTGCACTGTCACTAGTTTACTTTCAAGACATACCTGTGCAATCAGATATCCCTTTCAGTCTGTTTTTACCATTAAGGAAGCTTATTACAAAGGCCTTTAAAAGGAGTTTTCCAACATACAGACTATTTAAAAACCCCAAAATAGCAAAAGTAAAATGCAATGTGGTAGCCTGACACACACCTGTGTCCCTCTCTCTGCTGCTTTAAGTTTTTGTTACCAAGGTGTTTGTTTAATATGTAGCATAAAAACCATGGAGTGAAAGAAACTCTATAAAGAATCCTGGGATTGTCTGGACTGCCACTGTCAGAAATGAGGAGGCAGCTTCAGTCAGCTCTGTTGCAGATTTTGCAGGGACTTGGCTGTGCTCTGCCCAGTTCCGTTTAACTTTATGGACCTTCCAGAGGCAGGGAGGAAATCAGTGGCTAATCCTAGTAATGCCTCCATCACAGGACCTGAAAGTTAGGGCAGAGGTGTGAGAAGAGGCTGCTGCTTCAGGCAATCAATTGCTCCTCTATCCCAGTGTAAAATTTGGAAAAAATCAGCATTCATTGAATTCTTCCTAGTACTTAGGGATAGACTTAACACCATTAGTCCATGGCTGTGCATACATATATATATATATATATATACATACATACTTGTACATATATACGGTCCTCAAACATGGAACTTGTTTGATCAGTTTCTATACTGGAGGCTGTTTATATGAAGGAAAAAAGAAATCAGATCTAGAACCAGAATCATAAAAAGCGGGCATTTAGAGCAGCTCTGGAAGAGTTTTCACGCTCTATAGCTATTCCAACAAAAACATGTCCCTCTTAAAAATTAAAAAATAGATCTGGTTTAGTATTTCTATCTTGGAGCCGGTTTCAAAGACTGATTTCTTCTTTCAGTGATTATCAAAACTGTAAAGATTTTATTTTCCCTCAAGCTTCCCAAAATGTCTGTGGTAACACAGTTCTTGTATAAATCCACAATCATCCCCAGAAGTATTCAAACCTAAAATGAAGCCACTTCGTTTATGGTTGTATAAGCTATGAATTAAGGACATTCCTCTAAAAACTGTTAAAAGCAATTGGTGTAGGTATGTTAAAACAACAGATTTGCAGTCAATTTCTAATGAAACAAGTGTATCAAGCACAGATGTCTTCAGACACCAACATCCAATTTTTTCCTGGCCAAAAATATACAGAAGATAAATATTATCCCCGCCTGTTGGAGCGCACAAAGAGTTCTGTGTTCTTCATCCTGTTTACTGAGACAATGTTTTTGAATTCACTTTACTGGTGTAAACACTGCTCTAAGCAACTGGAAGATTATGTTTCAAGAAAAACTACATTTACACTATTGTGCAAGCAGTGGATCCTATGATATTTCTGTCCTTTGTTTCTTTTGTGCAATTGATGCATATTCTTAATGCAGAACTTGCCATTCTGTAAAGATGAATCTGTGCAAGTCAGCAATGAGGTAACTATAATAGGAGAATAGAAACGAGTTCATTATAAGAGACTACAATGGTAAAATTAGCATTACACCACTTAACAACTTCAATTAAAATGCTATCAGTAATGATACCAATTTACTTTTGATTGTCTCAATGTCACTTAGGACAGTTTTCTGGACTTGATGGAAAGTGAAGGACCCTCAAAATCTGCTAGGAGCAAAAAGGACAAAGTGACTCAAAACCCGAAATTTATATTTTACTGCTGTCAATCCTATTTGTAATCTCTGATGGGCCAAACTGAACTCCAGAGAGCTCTGAATTTTGCACTCTGCAGTGAGCTCCTATTACATACACCATGACATTAAGAAAACTGCACAGAGGTAGCAACAGTTAAACCACTTTCAATACCAATTTCTGGTAATCTCTCCAGCTTGCCAGAGGACTAGAGAGATCCTGAAGGCTACATCAGTGCTTCCAGTGCTTTGCTACTACCTCAAATTATTAAGCCTTACAGAAATCACAAGAAACAAGCACTACTGGAACCTTCCAGTTCTCCCTGTGCTAAACTAGAGATGAGACTTACTGGTCAGATACTATTGAGTCTTTTGTGATAATACCAAGAGGGTGTTGCTTTCTAATGCAGTGAAACCAGCAGCTTCAAATGACAAATATAAAATGATATTTAAAAAACACATCTAATAAAATGTGTGAAAAGTGACACACGGTATAGGTGGAGGTGAGGGAAATGGCCATGGGGAAGAGTTAATTTGAAATCTGCAGTTCTTTTTTAAAAGCAGATCATAAAGCCTTATTTGTACCTGTGTATGTTCCCAAAGTGAGTGGTTCTGGGTGGATGTTTTTTTAAGAGAAGGTAGCAACTGGAGATATTGAAGAGAGAAAGTAGGTAACAAACAGATAACAGATAGATAACAAATTGATAACAAACAGATAACAAATAGGTAACAGATAACAAAGCTAACACAGCAACACTGGAGTGGCATGACTAGTGGCTATAGCCACAGGCTTCATGCAAAATTATAAAGATGACACATCACCAAGCAGGCAGCACTAACTTCTGGCTTCAAATCACTCATGAATTACTACCAATCCTGTGACTCAAAGCAAGGATAAAAATCCCAACAGATTTAATCGTACACTGATTTACTTCAGTTTTCCAGGGCACATCAACATGGTTTTAGACTGGAATCCTGTCTGTTTCTGTGCAGGTTTCACTTGGAACTTGTCACCTCATCCAAAATGTTTAACACATCCATCGCAACTGGAGCTCACCCAGCTGTGTTTCAGGTCTATTGGTCGTGAGGCTTGACCAAGTTCTCTGAAGAGCATTAATACCAACCAAATGCCCTCATTGCCCAGAGAGGTTGTGGACTCCCCATCCTTGGAGGAGTGACCAGGCTGGAGGGGGCTCTGAATAAACTGATCTAGTGGAAGGTGTCCCTGCCCATGGAAGGGTGGTTGGAACTAGATCTTTAAGGTCCTTTCTAACCCCAAACCATTCCATGGTTCTGTGAGTTTTCCCTTTTCTGCCCATTCATCATGGTGTTGAGCACTGCTAGGGAAGCAGCAAAGCAGTGGGACAACAGAGAGCAGTACACTACCTGCACCTGTTACAGTCCACAAGCCTGGGAAACCAGCAGTAAAAAGAAAAAGAGAGGGACAAGAACAAAAGTTCACTTGCAAGTTGAAACACCTGGCTCCAAAAAGAGGGTCGGCTGCAAAGAGCAGATGTTGTAGAAGGCTGGTTGGAACAGACAAGAGAAACCCATCAGAAATGGAAAATAGGCAGGTTCCTGTACACCTCCCATGTGACATCACTCTGCTACTCAGGGGTAAAAACAGTTCCTTCTCTGAATAATAACCCTGCCCAATTACAATAGGCATCCCTTGGCTGGTTCATCAAATGAGTGCAAACCAAGACAAAAGGGATCTTCCACTTGAGAAAGGAGATCTGAAGAAAATGCGTAATTACTTTTTGTAATCACATTCTCATCCAGAGGTCTTCCAGGCACTGACAGAGTTGTTAAAATGACAAAAAAGAAGCAAACAAAATACCCCAAACCAAAGAGCCAGGCTTTGCTCAACAGCAGCTACTGCGGTTACTCTCAAACAATCAGTGTGGAAGCAACGCTAAAGCCTAAAATGCCACTTGAAAAGATGGGAGATTTTACAAGGCTAGAACACCACAGGAAGGCCAGTAAGTGTTGTCCCGGTCTTGCATGCAAAGAATCAAGTTGCATTTGAATTACTGCAGCTCTGGCTGTTGTTTCTGAGGGTTTTCTAGTCTGCTGTACTTATATTTGATTGTTTATCATCTGATAAATACAGCAGTACCTGGGGCACATGGGTAGCTTTCTGAATTCTTGTGATGGTGTTCTGATATTCACCACTTCTACCCTGAAAGAAGACACATCAGGGCATCATACAGCAAGTGCCATCTCACAGGAACCAGATAAGGAATGGCCACAAAGACAACTCACTGGAGTACCTTTTCCACCTGCTTTATCGTCTGAATTTTATGTCTCTTCCTTAGATATTTAAAATTTCCAGGTATAATTTCCTTCAAAAAATGTTATTTTTGGTCTAGGAAAGTTTATACCCCAGGAGAAGGGAAAAGAGGCTGTGAGTTTTTGAAAAGAAAATGTGGCAATTGTGCTATCTTAACACATAGGCTTTTTTTTTTTTTTCTCCTTTCCAACCTCACAGTCCCAGGAGGACTTTTAAATCAACACCCCCAGGAATGTAACTTCCATAGTCTGAAGCCATTGTGCAAAAAGACAAATGAACATCTATTCTGCTCTTACCTGCCAAACAGCTGATGAGAAATTTGCAAGTCAACAAGCGTCACTATTTCTGTTCAGGTCAATATGGTAAAGAGCAAGAGTTCACTATAACCCTATTTTTCTAAAAGAATAGGCCACCTTTTATGGCCTTTAGGCAAAGAAATAAACTTTCTCTGACTCTGCAAGGAATTAATGGGAGTTTTATTTCCATGAGGCTTGACCTACTGCAGGACTATCAACCAGGAACTTAAAGAACTTTTGTATATCCCTATTTACACACCTAAGTAAGCAGAATAAATGCAGAGTAAATATAATGCAGGACTTAGGGAGTCTGTTTCTGAAAGAGCTCATCCTTGTGCATAAGAGCTCTGGGATCAATGTTGCCCAATGTTTTCCAGTTTACAGGACTAGTCTTCCCAATTCTCAGAGTCCAGCAAAACTGCTGACATAGTTGCTGACACATTTCCAAGATCAGGTGGTGGAAAAAGAGGTCATAGCAGCAGCAGTTACTACAAAGACAAGCCAGGGAACTGTTTCCATCTCTTTTATCTGTTCCCTGGGTCTAAACATCGTGTGCTGTTACCAATCAGAGAAGGTTTTTGTTTCTTCCTGTCCTTCTCTGTGGCTTACATACTGTTCAAATAATGATGTACATTATTTACCTCATGCCACAATCTGTGGCCCTTATAGCTTCCCAACCATCCCTTCCTAAGGCTTTCTGAAAGGGTTTTCCTACCTAGTGTGAGAGATGTGTTCGGTCACCACACGTTGAACATGTTTCCTACCTTGGCCCCTCAAGTATTAGACTCACACCTGACCCAAATCTGTGAGGCTTCTAAATGTTGCAAGTCATCTGTGGTGAGTGCAATGGAGCGACAACGTGAAGGCAGCTTGTTCTCATCCAATCACAGAATCATGGAATGGTTTGGGTTGGAAGAGACCTTAAGGATCATCTTGTTCCAACCCCTTGACATGGGCAGGGGCACCTCCCACCAGAACAGGTGGCTCAAAGCCCCATCCAAGCTGGCTTTGAACACTTGCAGTGATGGGGCATCCACAGCTTCCCTGGCCAACCTGTGCCAGGGCCTCACCACCCTCACAGTAAAGAAATTCTTCCTAAAACTAACCTAAACTTACCCTCTGGCAGTTTAAAGCTATTCCCCCTTGTCCTATGACTACATGTCCTTGTAAAAAGTCCCTCTCCAGCTCTCTTGTAGCCCCTTTAGGTACTGGAAGAGGCTCTAAGGTCTCCCTTCTCTTCTCTAGGCTCAGCAGCCCCAGCTCTCCCAGCCTGTCCTCACAGGAGAGGTGCTCCAGCCCTGTGAGCATGTTGGCCTCTCACCAGTAGATCTATTACATCTTTACATACATACTTCTTAGACATATCAAAAGCATGGTAATTTTGTGGGCTGGGGGACTATAAGAAGCCAGGAATTAATTTAACCAGAAAACCAGATCTATTAGTGTATTGTTTTTATAAGCACATCTTAGGCAGAACAACATTTGAATTTATTGTTTTGGTTAAAAAGGACTGCTTATTAATGCCAATTTTGCTTTAAGGCTCTGAATTAAAAACAAATCACTCATTTTTTCCTCTTTCCAATCCTTGAAGTTTCAAGATGTAAGTGGCTTGTAAGAGGCTGTTCCAAACCCAAGAACAGTTTGAGGAATAACATATAACAAAGTTTCTTGCACACAACCTTTTTTTTTACTCCATGCAGCTGCTGCAGAAATTAACTCTAAATCTTGGTTCCATACAGCACTTTTGAGCTGAGACTAAAAGACTTATTCTCTTACAACCTTTGGAGATGATTCCATTTTATAATAGCATACTAAAAGAGGATCTGTTCGCAAACAAATTTTACAACAGTAAATTGAAGATAGAAATTAAAATACCCATTTATTATCAATGAAGATAATATGCTCCAAAATGGCAATCCCAAAGATGGGCTTAGTATCATCAACAGGTCTGCACTGATCCCCACATTCATGCAATCAACAGTATCCAAGGAGAAATTCAGAAAAAAATTGAAATATGTGCAATTACTTAGAGACAAAAAGTATATAGTAGATATGTTTTATATATATATTATATTTTATATATAATGCTATGCTGCATAATATTAAATTATACCGTATACATTCTCTCTTGGTTGCTATTGGTAGAGGCAGATTGTTCTGACTGCGTGTCATGGAAGCCAGGCTGAAAGTTGTCTTGGTTTAGTAAAATAACTTTGTGCAAGACACAGAAAAGGTCAGATATTAACATGAATTTGTACCTGAATGTTGGGGTTCTGCCCATTGATGTCTGCTTTTGATAGGTCGGGGAAGTTTGGGAGATCCAGGAGGAAAGATCTGGGTCCATCTCTTTGCAGGGACGTGTGCCCGTTTTCCTGCCGGAATCGCTGTTTAGGGAATGGTCGGTGGGCAGCCTGGAGATCGGGGTATTCCCTGTGGTCCTCGGGGTTCAGGGTGAAGCTGTCTTCAGGAGAATGGTCATCTGCACTCAGTGTGTTCTGGGGAAGAAAAGCAACAACACATTATAACAACAACTGAGAGAGTGTCAGTCCTGCCAGTGCCCCCATCCATCTGCTGGCTGCAGCCTTGCAGCACCCAGACCCACTGCTCACTACTGGGAAAGAAATCTCTGACCATCTGACACGATATAAAACTGAGTCATCCTTGGAGGTTTAGCTGTTCCAGGTTCCTGAACCATTCCAGCCTTGGTGTGAGCACCCACATGTTGCCACAAACACCAGACTTAACACAAACGTAGAAACGTGAAGCTCTGAAGTGACCCCTGGGAAATCAAACTGTATCCCCTTAAATGAGTCCCTAAAAATGGTGAAAGGTATCCTTCTTATAAATCATTTTGAGTTTGCTTTGTTCCAAAGTGAAGCAAAACCACTGACTGCTCAGTCCGTGTTGAAATTTATGGTATTAAAAGATCCTACCGCTGAGCTGGCAACCTCCCCTTCCCTCCCCTCAGTCTGCAGCAACTTCCATCTCGTCGCCTGTGTTCCTCACCCAATTTCTCTGGTCTTGAACATCTGAACCTTCCTTCCTCTGGGATCTCATTTTCATGTTTGCCTAATGGTGGGATTGAATTTCACCAAGCTGTGGGTCAGCGGTTAATGCTTTTGTTATTGTTGAGCGTACTTTGGTGTTTTGTAGTACATTGCAGCAGGCTGCCCCCGCACCAGTAGCACTGCTGCCACTGCCTTTGACCTCACCAAGGAGACACATTTAGTATCAAAACACTGCCTCCCTGGGTTAGGACTGGCCTGGGGACTCGGGGGAATAAAACAGCAGAGAAGTCCAATGTTCTTACGGCTACAAAAGAAAAGCACGAGGCAGACTCAGCACAGGTTTTGGTTTTGACTCAGCTGAAAAGTTTCAGGCTTGAGGTCTTAGTATGACTGCCTGGGGAGTTTTTATTTTCAGTTCATAAAGAGACAGCAAGCATGGAGAGGGTAAATGTTAAAGACCTATCTTTTAAAACAAGCACAATTAAAGTGGAATGGCCACATGTGGTTCTGGCTCTACTGAAGCATATTTTTGCCAGCATTTCTGGTTAAATGCAATCTCCATCCAGCTCTCCTGGTTCAAATTAAGCCATAGCATACCTTTAGCTAAGCTCTCAGATAGATAACAGCTCCAATGCCTTTTATTTTGTGTTTATTTGCTTAGAAGGTTCTAAATTGACCTTTAAAGAGACTTTACAATATAATCTGTGCACATTACAGGAAAATATTCAGTGAGCTAAATGAACTAAGATTTAAGAGTTAATCTGGGACTAAGTGAGACTGTCTCAAGCAACAACAAAGGTGGTTCTCCTCTCCCCTTCTCGCCGCACTCCATTTGTGGAGTCCAAAAATCAGATTCAGCAGAATTAATGTTGTCTTGGTACTGTCATACCCAAAAGGATAATTTTATATATCTGTCTACAGCATAGATGCATAAACATTGTTCTGAATCAGTGTATGTGTGCAGTGCTAAAAATGTATGTGCTCCTGACAATCTGCATTATTTGAGAGCTAAAACATAGACCCTTCTCTTTTCTGAACATCAGGAAGGACTTTCAGATGCCTTTGGTGGCTCATCTATTACTCAATATAAAGCAGATCACACGGCAGTGAGCTCTGGGAAACAAAATTGAGGGTCAGTAAGACAACCTTAGGTTCCTTACTCATATGTGCTTTAACTTCACAGTTTTCAAATAGAATTTAACCATAAACTTTGTGGTGGCTTCTCAGTTATGTCTGACTAACAACAAGGTGTGATTGTGCTGTTATTAAATTACTTCAGTCAGGAACCAAAAAAAAAATGTGGTACTTAACTACTTTTAGTGGGATATCATGCCCATAATCTTACCTTTATTAAAAATAAAGTAAGGTTTTATTAAAAAATAATAAAATTCTCACATACAATTTCATACTTTCCCTATTTGCTTGCCACTTGATTCTCCACATTAACATACCATGCAGCTAGAGCTGGTTGAAGACTTAAAGACCTATATTTAATTCCCTGATAAGACTTGTTGTGTGATCCTGACAGGTCATGGTCTGTCTGTGCCTCGGTGGGGATAACAGCACTTCCCTTCCTCACTGTGATGTTTGCGGGGAGCTCAGCAACTACAATAATAAGGGCTATATAAAAAGTTTTTAATAGTGTCAGACAGATGGAATATCACATGGAGTTAGTTAGGAAATTGTCATGGTGAAGTAATGACATCAGGCTGATCGGGCCCACTACCAAGCTGCTTGGGGCAGGGACTGTCATGAATTAAAGTCTGAACGAGATGGGGTTTAATGTTAAAAAGAAAAATAGAGGGAGGACAAGATAACTGCTCTATCCCAAAGGCTGCTGCAGGGAAGGGAGGATGGACCACTCTGCTTGCTCAGGGTGGACACGACCCAAAGACCCCAGCTGATCGTTGGGTGCACATTTCTAACGTCAGCGACAGACGAGTTCCAGAGCAGCCTTTGAGAAGGACATGGAGCTTGGCTTTAAGAGAAGGGCTGACTAATGCCTGGCAGGAATGACACAGGTTAACCAGTGTGTGCTCTGCCTAAAGGCAGTGTTATCTCTTGCAGTCCCTTTTGCACTAGGACAAGCCCAAGCTATTCCTCCTTGGGGCTCCTGTGTCTTATTGCAACACAGGCAAAGGGGAATGCTCAATATGTGTGATCATTCCAGTTATCTGCTCATAGTACCAGGAGCAAAAGGCCATTTCTAAAATGAGAGAGACTGCCCATTTTTTAGGTAGATACTTCTTGGTGTAGTGTCTAAGCTGATTTGCAGTAATACTAGAAATGTATATTTCTGGTGAAAAGATAAAAGTGAGCTTGAACTGCATGTGAAGAGAAGAATATGCTCACTCTGTTCTACTGCATTAGCTCAGCAAAGGTTCTTCCAACACCCATCTAGCAGGAAAAATGTGTCCTTACTGCAGTGCCAGCATCCTTTCTGAAGAAAACAGGGGTTGTGTTCCAAAGCTAATAGATGAAATTTAATTAAGGTTTTTGGTTTTTAAGGGGAATATTCTTCTCTTCTTATTTCTACGTTATTTCCCATGTTTATATTTCACACTATTTATTTTTAGGTGTACACCATTTGTGTTCCTGATGCTTTTTGGAAAGCAGGGTTGCTTGCCTTCCTTTAAAAGCTATGTCACTTCATTCTGAACTACTGACTCAGTTTCTTTGAAGTTATGACATTTCTAATTCAGGCACATTGGTTTCTAACTCAAATGATGCATCTGCTCTAAATATTTTAAGATAAAACACTTTCTTTCCTTCATTAAACGGGATTATTCACAACTTCTAAACTTTCCATTAAGATGATTTTAAGAGGTTACTCATGCTGGCTGTCAGCTACAGTTCTGCAGCCCCATGGGATCAGACAATTATAGAGGTTCCTAATACAAAAACAGCTTAGGATTTTTGAATGTTCCAAGTGTGGACAGTATATAAGGGCAGGAACATATTATCCATAGTTGTTTGACAAGGCAATGAATTAAATCCTTCAGAGAAAATCTGCCATACTCTTTGAGTTACAGAATAACAGACCTTGCAACACCCATCACTGAAAAAGGGAGGGCAATAGGTCAGTGCATATCAGTGCCTTTGTGTCTATCTATAAACCATGGAAGAAGAGCAATTCACAGGGATTTTGTGAGGATAATTTTACATGTTGGTGATCCAGGAGGGACTTGCACCACGGCATCCACCACTGGCATCATGGTTTAAGGCACCAAGAGACAATGCAGGAGAAATGTTCTACCTGATACTGCAGTTTAACTCTTCAGTAATCAAATGGGTATTTTAACTCCCCCCTTGGCCTTCACATTTTGTTTCTCCCTCTGTCATGATAGACATGAGCTGCAGGGAACTTACTCTTCTCTTCCCCGCAGAGAAACTAAGCAGAAATGGGAACTTGTAAAAATACCAAACTAGGGGGAAAGGGAATTTTTCTGCAATTTTAGCAAGCAAGGAATTCTTTCTTCCTTATTTTAATCCCATCTCCAGTTCTGGAAAAACAACCGAGACAGAGAATAAGCAAGAAATTACTGTAGCTACAGAAAATATTCTGAAGCAGCTGCTCTTTCTCTGTCCTTCATATTTGTTACCTTCCTTCATTCCCTCCCCACTTTCCAAACTAAGGGTGCATTTGCAAGTACTACTAATTATGGAGTTGAAAGAATTTGGGAAAACTGATGCAACTTATATGCTAACAGCTCCCAGACAGCAAGGGAATCTATTACTAAATCCCTGCTGCAGCTACATTGCTTTTTTTATTTCTTGTATACTCCTTTGAAATATCTTGTAAAATGATCTTGACAAGAGGTTTTGAACTGAAACCCGACGGTCTGCCAGTGCACTTTCATGATGCACCTGTACAGCATCTTCAACCACCAGCAACAAGGAACATTTATTTATTAGGAAACTTCACAGACGCTATAAAAGATTATATTGCTATGAGAGACAAAATGAGGCCTGGGGCCTTCACAGAAAACCATTACAGCCATTAGGACTGGTTTCATTTCCCACCTGCCTAAACAGATTGTTTTCATTTTGAAGGCTGTCGTGTGTTTCCAGGTTAGTGCTAAATGATCACTTTAAAATTAACCGGCCTGGGGAGGCCGAATAACACACTGGGACACTACACGAGACTTCCACCTCCACAGATCCAGGATCTGTAATGAACTTGGGTGATCTAATTCCTGGTTTGTGTTTTTTTTTTTTTTTTTTTTTTTTGGTTTATCATGAGTATAAATAGCACAGGACCTACCAGGATGAGGTATGAGGACAGTGTCAGAGGAGCAGGCAGTGATGTTAAAAGCTGAGAAGAATTATCAGAGATACACAGAGAAAGATTTCTCTTATGATTAATACCACAAACAGTCCAGGCAGTCAGACAGAAGTCAGACCAGAGGGGTGTCACATCAACCACTCAGCTAAGACAATCTCATTTTTCCTTAAAATGTGCTTGCCCCTCACTCATATAAGGCAAT